TCTGTTTGGCAATTGCACATTATTTGCATACTGTTGTTCAGAAAACTGAAACATTTATTCTAGCAGCTTGCAGGGTTGTTGGTTTTTTTTTTTTCAGAAATGTTGGTGCCAAGCTTTGTCAAAGCCATTTTTGAAACACGTTTGGGTAACGGGCTGCCAACACATTGCCCTTTTAAGATTTGTATTTTCCTCGCAGCTATGTGCAGGAATCTTTGAAGAACTTGAAAGTAACCTATCTTTCCTTAACAATTATTTTTATCTTGAATGGTTGTTCCCACATCAGATACAGGTTTATAGGTGAACCTGAGAGCCTGAAGTCCTCTGTCTGGGCAATGTCTGCTCCTATCCATGTCTTATCGGAGCGGCAGCTGTGCAGACCTCCACTTTCCCACTCAGACAGATGTTGCATCTGCACCTGTCCAGTGTGGTCTGTGAGGGCCTGGACAGGGATCCCCAGCTAGCTGTAGCACCTCTTACACTATTTCCAAATAGTTTGATGCTAAAGCTGTGATCTACGCTGCTAGGGCTTGATTATGAAAGAGAAGTTGGATATCAACTCATCAGAAAATGCATTTGGTTTGCTTTGTTTTTCTAGCTGGCATTTCTGAAGGATTCTGGAATTTTCCTTTTGGACTTCTTTACATAAACAGCCACCATGGCGTGGGTGATACGTGATCTTGTGACCTCAGGTTGTGGTATAGATAAAGTGAAAGTCAGCCAGAGGCTTCACAGAATTAATGTCATTTGTCTTACATAAAAATTGCTTTTTCTTTGAAGTCTGTCACACTTTTGAGTCATAACGTCGTGGATTTTAAAAAAATATTTATTTATTAACAAGTGGGTGAGATTCCTTCATGACACAAAAATTTCAAAGTCAGTCACAAAGAGTCTGTGATACTCTCAGTTGAGTCTGAGACACTTATGTGGCTCGCCATGGAGGCACTGACACCTACCATCTGTCTGTGCTGTAGAGAATAGCAGACTTGGATGTCTTTAAATGAAAGCAATGGCTCCAACTATGTTGCAACTGCGTCTAGGCTCCAAAGTGGCTTTAAAGAGCCATGAAATTCTTTCCCCAGTTTCGTGAAAGCACATTTTAACCTTGTGCCTTCCAGCGATGTCCCCTCTAATACAGCTAAACGGATCTTTTAAAATTAGTGATGGCAACCCTACAGGACCTCAGTTTTGCAGAAGACCTCATTGTGCACTGCAGAGGGTGGAACAGGGGGTGGCTGTGCCACCTCTGAGCACCTGCAGCATGGAAAAGCATGGGAAGATGGTGTTCAGCTTATTGCCCTATGTGGGAAGCATATCACCACCAGTCTTGGTGTTTGATCTTCAGATGGTACAAGAGGAAGTTAATGGCTCATTTGTGTGGTAGTCATGTATAGGTGTATGTCAGTAAATACAGAAGCGTTAAAATGATGACTCGGTGAGGAAGGACCACGAAGATGCTCAGGGGGCTGGAGCACCTCTCCTATGATGAAAGGCTGAGAGGGTTGGGCTTGTTCAGTCTGGAGAAGAGAAGGCTCCGGGGAGACCTTATAGCCCCTTCCAGTACCTGAAGGGGCTACAAGGAAGCTGGGGGGGACTTTTTACAAGGGCCTGTAGTGACAGGACAAGGGGGAACGGGTTTAAATTGAAAGTGGGGAGGTTTAGATTAGATATCAGGAAGAAGTTCTTCCTGGAGAGGGTGGTGAGGCACTGGAACAGGTTGCCCAGAGAAGCTGTGGATGCCCCATCCCTGGAAGTGTTCAAGGCCAGGCTGGATGAGGCTTTGAGCAACCTGGTCTAGTGGAAGGTGTCCCTGTCCATGGCAGAGGGGTTGGAACTAGATGGTCTTTAAGGTCCCTTCCAACCCAAACTGTTCTATGATTTCCTTGCCCCCAACAACACAAACATTGGTAAAGGTCCCATCGCTGCCTTTTAAGTTTATACCATAATTCACATTCTGATATTCATGTGATGTTGCCCAGCATGTGTGTGTTTTCAACATCCCTTCCTCAGTCTCTGCAGCCTTTGTTACATTCTCATGCCTGTCTTGGTTACCTGAACTAGTGCCTGCCCTCATTTGTCACGGATGGATGGATACAGTCCCAAACAAATACCCTCTCCTTAGGTACAGGTCCCTAGAGCTATCGATGCAAATCTCTCTTCTGTCCACTGGTTACAGTTTATCGTTTGCAAGTTGCAGACAGGACTACATACATGTGACCTCATTGCTTTTGAAACATATCAAAGAAAAACCACTATATAATACCACATAAAGTTTTGACTCCTTTTCAAAACCCCCTTTTCATTATTTCCTCCAGGGAATAATTGGGAGCGTATAATGTGGTTACTGCATCTTCTCCTTTGATATGTGCACATACGAGATGGTACCCTCCCACAGAAGGGTTTTTTGCTTGGAGAAATTAAATGCCCAAGTATGCTTAAATGAATAAATCATTCATTTTTAAGTGTGTCTGTATTCATGAATCATATGACATGAACTGGGCAAAATACAACTTCTTAAAAGCAAATGGTATAATAAATATGCTTTGGAAATAGTCACTTGAACCATTTCAAAACCTCCTCTTGATGGCAGATTTCAAAGGCTTAAGAACTTCAAGTGGAAATGTAAATTTTCAAAGGCTTTTTCAGTGTGAGATAATTTGTCTGCAGGAGATATGCTGTCAGCTGTGTTTCTGTTGAAGGTTAGTACAGATGGCTACAGGCTCTACCGGGTACCTTGCAGGAGGTGTTACTTCTGACCCAAAAGATGCTCTGCGGCCATAGACAGGGGCGCTCACACCATTTCAGAGTGTGGTGCTGAAGTAATGTGGGCTTTTTAAGCGTGTGGAGATGGAGATGGGTGTTAGGAGGCAAGCTCTCTGTCACTAGCTTTGATGCATAATGACAAAATAAATATACTGGGAAGTTTACCTGTACCTGGCTGAACTTGTTCTGGTAGTGTGAAGGTCTCTGATATCTGCCACATACCCACAAGGTTTCAGATAAACCAAATAAGCCCAAGTTTTTGAGAGTGTCAAGTCTGCTCCAGGTGGGTGGGCTGCAGACACGGCACAGCACGTGCAGAGACGCTGGCTTCGGCCCAGGAGGCTGTACCGCTGCGTACGTGAAGCACTGACCCTATCTAGTAAATCCTGCCTCTCCGAAGATGTAGTCAGCTCAAGCAGAGACCCACCCTGCCACGGACGTACTGTTTCTGGCTGCAGAACGGGAGTTGTTTGGCGCTGACATGAGTGACTCTGCATGTAGAAATACCTAAGAAGCCTTGACTTTTTAGTCTCCTCTTAAAAAAGAAGTATTTGCCTTCTGAAAATCACGCTCTTTTAAGGGCATCTCAGGTGCCATGCTCAAATATCAAAGCATCCCTAGTATTTATTATCCTTTAGAAAGCAAGGCCATAAATTCTCATTTAGGTGGAAGAATTATTTGTCACCTGCAACAAAGCCACCAGGTTTTCCAGTAGACTTTTTTAAACTATTCATTAATATCATTAGATCTTGAGATCATTCATCAATGAGCACTGTTTACATTCTAGTATTTATTGTATTCTTTCTGATCGTTGTTTACCCTGCCTACTGGATAAGTCCTTGCCATTGTTTAGCTTAGGAATTGCTGGTTTTAAATTGTTGACATGTATTTGTATTTTTAGCAATGCCATTCTCCCAGGTGTTACCCAAGTTTCTTCCGGAAGATCTAAGACCTAGCCAACCTAATGAATCACTGACACTGTTTTCTTTTTTGCAATAGGAAATGGCAAAGATTTGAAACAATGTCTACCTAAAAACAAATAATACTGATTTTCCTGTAATTCCTGTAATTCCTGTAGAGCAGATGCGTGCTGCCCAAGCACGTGCCTGAGCATTCGATGGGGCCTGTGGAGCAAAGCACAGGAACCTGCGTTAGGCGGCTCAGCACAGTGTAGGGTTGCACCACGCGCTGAGGGTCCCAAACAGCCCAGTTCCTGAGTTGGGTTAGCCAAGAGGCCATCAAAAAAGAGGGGTTGAATCCTAGACCCAGCCCCTGGAAGAATGTGTTAACGAGACATCCCACTCCCGAGACTGCCTCCCGAACTTCCTGTGGGCACGCAAACAGCTCCTCCACCCCACCCCCTATTAGTTTTCTAGCCCCCTGGTCTTAAATTCCTTCTGGCAAAGTAATACGGTTTCCAACCCATTGTGTAAGGTTCATGTTTGTCACCTCTTAACCTCTAGATGTGTGTTTTTCTTTTGATCCATGTTTTCCAACATATCTAAGAGAAGGCTGTGCCTAAAAGAGTAAAGACACATTCCTTCTGAAGCTACGTATTCATTTTGTTCAATTAATATTGTGCAGAGAGTGCGCTGGTGGGTTTTGTATGTATACATTACTAGAAACCAAAATTACTGTGTGCTGGAGATAAAATTATCTTTTGAAATTCCTTTTCCCCTGTAAAATAAAAATAGCAGAATCTGCCTTTAATTGACCACCTCAGTCATCACAGGCTTCCTGTATGCAGAGGCTTTGCTTTTAATATCTATTTTCCCTTGGCTTTAAAGAGTAGTCTTTATTTGCAAGTTTATTATAGAAGCATTCAAATTAGAGGTGGGCTGAAACCGCAGAGTTTATGTGTGGATGTGGATGCAACTTTCTAAAAGTTCCATGGTCCAGGTTTTTGATTGTCCTAACCAGAGATTACAGAGGTGTCTATAAATTCCAGGTTCAAAGCCGCGTGTCTTGGGTGTGGAAATGCAACACTTGGGTTCAAGCTCTTCTCCCCAGTATATTTCATAAATCAATTTTATTTAGTGGTTTATTAGTGGGCTGACAGAGAGGAAGAGCTTCCCATATTTGCTTTTTTTTTCAGATAAGGAAAGAAATGTAAACGGTACTTTCCTTGACACATAACATTGCGAACAAGTGTAATTCAACACAAGATGTTCACAGCCTCCTTTATCATTTGAAGCCCTTCTCAGCAGGGTCTTATGGGAACTTACATTTTTCTGTCACAGGGCTGGGAGAAGGTTCCGCTCTTCTTCCCCCAGACAGCAGGTCCCACCCCCGGTCCTTGGAGAAGAGTGCATGGAGAGCCTTCAAGGAGTCACAGTGTCATCATATGCTGAAACACCTTCACAATGGAGCCCGGATCACCGTGCAGATGCCTCCCAATATTGAGGGACACTGGGTCTCTACTGGGTAAGGGAAGCTAAACCAAGATGCTTGAGTGATACGTGTGGAAAAGAAGGGGGAAGCTGAGGGGGAAGGGTGAATACCCCCACTTTAAGCAGCAGGGGAAATATTTTCTATAATATGGTGATGCTTTCTGTATGTTTATGCATAAAAGGAGAAGGAGCGGCGTTATGTACAGTAGAATAGCATGCTATAAAGCTGTCTTGATGATGCAATTTATAGTCTGGATTTTAAACAGCATGCTGTGAAATATCTTTAAATCTCTCTTTGAATAGGAAGGGAGCCCAAGTTGCCAAAATAGTTGCTCATTCAAACATAAAATTGTACTATCTTTGACTACATGCATTAGATCTATTGAATGCATCCTTGTTTTCAGAGCATGTGTCTAGCACAGGTTTTATTGGCAAAAGAAATTAAGAAGTTGTATTTCACCAGTTCTATTACTCTCTATACAGGATGACTTGTAATTCAGGGAGCTATTTTGCTTTCTGTGTCTCAGCAGGCAATATTCACATGCCTATTTGAAGTGACTTGTAGTAGGAAAGAGTAGGGTATTTTAATAGAAAGCAGTATATTTATGTTCAGTAGTGCGGATGTGACAAGGGGGACAAGCTAGAAGGCACAAAAGGACTTATTCCAGGAAGTGGAATTTAACTGCCATTTATACCTTGAGGGGAAAAAAAAAGGAAAAAAAAAAAAGAAACACCACCCCCCACCACCACCACCAAACAAACAAACCCAAAGAAAAATCTGAATATTGCATGGTCTAAATTTAAGCCAAATAGAAGATTTGCATTACCAGTCAGAAGTTTGCATTAACTGCCACCCGTGTTGAAAGTTTGAGTGGAAAAGCTGAGGATGTGATCCTGCACATCCTCTGCAGACCAGAGCTGGTGGAGCTCTGCTGAAAAGCTTCTACAGCAGCCTAGAAGCCAGTTCTTTTTATGGTTCTATGGACGTTTGGCATTTCAGTTTCTGACGTTAACAGTCCTTTTGCTAAATCTACCATGCAAAAGAGAAAAATAGATGTTTAATAAGCCGCTACTTTTTTCAGAGAAGAATCGAGTCACATGGTGGTCCCTAGACAAGAAGGAAAAGAAAAACATGACTCAAACTGTTTGAACCTACAAAGATAAAGCCCTTAGTTAGGTATGATCACCGTGAAGCGATATGTTAGTAACAGCAGAAGAAATTGCTGGTTAATTGGCAGGCCACAGATGCCTAGTTCCTATTTACTCCCATTTGTGCTAGAGGGACGTTAGCACCCAAGTGTCTCCGTGGTCCCATGCGGGTTTACTCAGTCTTGTTGCCTGTAGTGTACATGATGTGCCACCTTGCTAAAATTTTGCTTCCGTCACTTTCTGTCTTCCCACAGCTGCGAAGTTAGAGCAGGCCCAGAGTTCGTCACAAGATCTTACAGGTTCTACCACAATAATACGTTTAAGGCCTATCAGTTTTATTACGGTGGCAATCGCTGCACAAACCCTATCTACACGTTAGTTATACGTGGCAAAATACGTCTCCGCCAAGCGTCCTGGATCATCCGAGGGGGTACTGAAGCTGATTACCAGCTACACAACATACAGATCATATGCCACAACGAAGCAGTGGCCAAAAAGCTAAGTGAGTTGGTGAACAATACGTGTCCTGGATTTATACCAGAAGATAGTCCCTGGGAGCAGGATGTGAGCTATGATTTGCTGAGAGAAGAGAATGGCTGTGAATGCACCAAAGCTCTGAATTTTGCCATGCACGAACTCCAGCTGATCCGTGTGGAGAAGCAGTACCTGCACCATAATTTGGACCACCTCGTGGAGGAGCTGTTTCTCGGAGACATTCATACTGATGCTACTCAGAGGAGGTACTATCGGCCCTCTAGTTACCAACCTCCTCTTCAAAATGCCAAGGTATGTGTCTGTATATATGCCCTCTTTTTAAGATACTAGTGAGAAAACCCATGTTATTTAGCTCTCCTGAGTCAGTGCGCTAGTGTGACCTAAAATGTAGATGTGCTTCTAAAATAAGAGGTGGATTGCAGCCTTACAGGTGATGCAGCCAATTAAAAAAAAAAAGATCACAGAGCATCTTTCATGAGAATAGTAACTCTTCTGTGGTTTATAAGGCTGCATCAAATGTGCAAAAAGTAGTCAGGTGAGCTAAGGTCAATAAAGGCCACTCTGAAGATGGAATCAAAGACTTGTATGCAGAGGTGGGAGTTGTTGGCTGGCCCCACGGTTGTGAGCTAGAAGTTGAGAAGAGAGAAAGTTTGATACAGGACTGAGAAAGGACAAGAGAAATAGGCATCAGTGCATGCTTGCATAGCTGCAGGAGTGTCAGGGAGAGAAGAAATCAAATTGTATCAGCTTATGGAAGTTGGGTGATCCACAACCTGAAGAGAAAAGAGGAAATTGGAAGGTAGACATGTGAAAGGGGCAGCACAAAGGGGAAAAAATCTGATGGGCTGTGCAAGTCATGGACCCAGATGCAGGCACACATATTAATGAAACGAAAAACAGGTGCATTTCGAATGAGGATCTAATTCCATTTGATAATTCAGTTTCCAAAGGGGCCTCAAAGTGCCTTCAGCTTCATTGGGAACTGATCAACCCATAGTAAGTTAGATACAAAGCAAACAGGAAGACACTGATGGCCTGTAGCAGGAGAGTTTTCTATAGATCTCCCCTGGTGACATTTCACAGGCAGGTGGCAATGGGAACCACGTTGCCAGCTGCTGCTGCCGCCGTCGGAGTGCTCCAGCTGGGCGCTGCTGCAGCATCACCTCCAGCTAATGGGTTATCACCATTATTAATCATCCCATCGCAAACCGATTCAAAAATCAGCTACTGCTTATCAGCAATAGCAGGAAACACAACAGGGGCAGGGAGAGTTTTGATAAGAAAGCCTTGGCTTTCCCTTCCATTGAAAATCATCCGCCCCAGGTTGCATCTGCCTCCTGTGAACATCAGATTTCAGTAGTTCAGGACCTTACATGATCTGCCTCTAATCGTTTTAATAGCCTGGCCTTGGGATAATTTTAAACCACAGGCAGCTGTGTCTCTGTATGACAGCTGCTGTCATTATTATGCTCACTTCAGGTGACAGGGGACAAACCTGCTTTTGTCTTTTTAAATGTCTTCACAAAATGGAGAGTTTCAGCAGCAGCAGACAAATCACAGCACGTTCCTCATCAAAATTTTATGGTTTTTTAATTAATCCAAACAAGCACATCAGCTTTCTCTTTCCTGATTTGGGAGTGAGGATTCTGTGCTAAATCTCTCCCTTGCAGGTATCTGTAGATACAAATTATCTGACACCAGCTATCTCTTGTATCTGTTCTAGAAGATGTGGTAGATCTTTTTCCGACCACATGAAACAGAGACAAAATCTTCATTTAATTATTTTTTCTGATTATTTTTTCTGGCCAAATCTGGTTGTCTTATTATGGGCTGATAGATAACATAGTAAATGCTTACACTTCCACCTTGTAGTAATTTCATTACTGTCACAATGATCAGGTGTACTATCAACCAGCTTTATAAAAATAAGATTTGTGTCCAGGTCTGCTGTAGTTTTAGAACACATTGGTAATGACTTTTCTGCCTGTCTCTTCTGCTACTGTAGCATCATTTTTTCCCCTCTAAAATATAATGCCTCTAAAATGTAATGCTCGAATTTAAGGGATCAAATCTTGCAGAAGAGGTCTGTTTCTTGAGACAGGTTAGCTAAATAAACTGAGAGCACACTAAAAACTCTCATTTATATTAACAAAGTCCGTTATTTCAGGCATGATCCAATTCATTCTGACCTGAGTGGGTGACATCTCAATGTGTAAGGTCAGTGCAGCCTCAGCCTGCCTGCCTGGGCCACCCTGCCTGCTGCTATCCCGCAGTCCCATGTGTCTGGATAGGCAGGTCTTGCCCGGGGGTACCTGTGTGCTCCGGTCGGGGAGAGCCTGCAGTATGGCTCCCAAGGGAGGCTTCCATATCATATATTTACAAGAACTGGGGGAGGGGAAAAGCAAACAAGCCAACTAGTTATCCACTGGTATTCCTGAAGTACAGTGCTTCCAAGTAAGATTTTTGGTAGCCAGGTCTTGCCAGAGTTTGAATCTTGAGGCTGAATATATGGCAGTGGAAGACAACTAATATGAGTAGTCTTGGCCACAGAGAGTGCTGTTCCTATAGAAAGCTCAGGTCAACTCTAAGTACACCAAAATACGTATATATTCCGTACAGCATGGGGATTGCTGGGACACCAGTCTCAGCTGGAGCCTTCAACAGCAAGAGATGCGTAGGTGTAACGCAAGTTTAAAGTGTGCAACAGTGCAGATTCTCTTTGTGGTTTCTGGTAGGTTCCTCTTGCTCAGATTTGATGTGAGATTTCTTTGTTTCTCAAGAGAAGTTGGGCCTAGGCTTTCAGCGTGATACAAATAACAGTACTCCTGTAAAATGAACCTTTGCCTCAGACCCCATCGAAGACTTTTGAGTGTTGGTTTGTACCTAACCACAAAGTTCTTTATACCAACAGGTTTGCAACCCGTCCATCTGACCTAGTGTTTCCCAAACGTAGGAAGAATAGTAAGAGAGATGCCTTTTTTTTAAGTCCAGGCAAACATACCATTGAAAGGTTATAACCCTTCTTCTTTGAAGTCTTTTCCTTTTCTAATTGTTGCTCCACTGGGACCCAGCTGAAAATGAGTTTAAATGCTAAATTGAGTTTAAAACTACAAGTCACAGATTCCTCTGGAAACTGGACACCATGAATAAATAGAAACATTAAATCAACTTGTTTTTTTAAGGTTTCTACAGTCATACCAAGAGGTTGGGGAGGCCAGGAAATTGCTTCTGAAGTGAATCAGGTGTATTGTGTGGAATCTTTCATTTAAGGCTTTTTTCATTTCCTTTTTATTTATTTTTATTTTAAACTTATAAAGGCCTGCCTAAAATAAGTTAAGAGGATTCACATTTTGAGTTAAATTTATAGTTAAGCCTCTATATAGAAGAACGTTCCACCCAGCTCAAGAGTTTACACAGCCTGCAAGTTGAATGTGGTAGCCACATTCATTACTTATGTGGTTGAAGTGAATGGTAATTAAAAGCAAATGATTGCTGGATATGTTAGGAATGCCAAAGCCACATGATCGGGACTTTAAACAAATAGAATTGGACCTTCTCCAGATCCCTGCAGTGATTTCACCACAGGATAGTAAATCAAAAGGTCTGTCCAAAAACCAGACAGCTTTATGCTGAACTACAAATCTGAATAAATTCGCAGATTACTGTATCTCAATGGTTCATATAAAATCAGGGAGCTTTTAAAAATATATATGTCATCTCTTAAGGCTTTATGAATTCTTTTAGATTAGAGCATACCTTAAACAAATTCCTCCTGTAAAATACATGGAAGTTCTTGAGTGCAGCTGATGCAGAAGTCACTGTATAGATTTACCTTAGCGGTCTGCTGGCCTTGCTCAAGATACCAATTAAGACTTGCTGATGAACGGGGCTGATAATCTTTGATGTCTCTTGATGTTGCGAGTTTATCAAGGGAGTCAAGCTGCACATGCAGCTTCTCTCGCCAGGATGAGAGAGCACACGGTTGGAAAGGCCAGGACAGGGGAACTGCTTGGCCATCGTTGCGTCTATTATGCAAAATATTCCCGATTAGGCCAATACCAAGGAGCCTGGCTGATTGGTCATAGAATCACACCTTTTACAAACGCATGCAGGGACTTGTAGCATGAAGGAAGGCTTCAGGGCGGTATTTATTCACTATGTGGAAGGACAGAAGATGTTTTCAGGAATATCTGCTCTAAAACTACAGGAAATGTGTACAGCTGCAATGCTGGGACACTTATTTCACATGTAATTGCCTCATCAGGAGTGTTTTGTAAACAAAGAACTCCTTGTGCTATTTTATCATCTGACAGAGTAATGGGAAAGATGAGAGCAGGGCTGTAATGACCGGTCGTTCTAGTTAGGTCATTAATTAGGAATAAGGCTGGAGTGGTCTGGAACATGACTCAAAACCTAAAATGTGCTAGGATAACTTTCCTTTTGCCTTTGCCATGCTCAAACATTGGCTGGGCACACACTTTCAGGAAGACATTTTCCCTTGAAAACGCAGTTCCAATGGATTGATTTTTCTATTACATGTTTATTTGCTGCTGGGAGCTGACTTCCAACAGCACCTGATGTTTGCAGCTAATGCAGATTCAGCGTGTGGAGCCCGGTGTATGTGCTTTGCTTTAGGCAGGCAGTGGAAGAACAAAACGCACAAATGCTTGTTGTGCTTTTGAGAATTGGGGTCTCCATCTCTCTGAAACTCGGTGACTTCATCTGTAAGGGAATGCTACGTACTTGAGGAACCCCCAGGCAAATGCAAGCAGAAGTTAATACGTAGATGTTGAACATGTGAAGCGCTTCCAAGAAATATGAAAAACATTATCTCAACCAAAAAGTGTAATTTTGGAGGACAAAACTCCTTTGTTTGCCATAGTAGTGGCACTAGACTTCCAGATTAAGCCAACACTTGAAGGGTTTCTTTTGTTCATTATTACTTGCAAAAGGCTCTTGGTTAGGAAAATTATGAGGGGGAGAGAAGAAAGAAGATCCAGAAGAACGTTTAAGTAGGTTAATTCCAGGTTATGAACAATAACAGTGCGTGTGATGCCCTGCTGAGATAAGGAAAGCAAACAGCCTCTAGCTGAGCCTGGTCCTTGGTGTGCTCGGCAGCGCTGTTGGCTGCGACCTTGCAGACGAGCGCTCCTTTGAAGATGCCACTCTGCACTTACTGCCCACACCAGCATTAGCACTAGCCAAGGGCTGATGCAAAAGGTTGCTCTTCACTCCCTCTGTGAACCTTCAAAAGCTAAGCGTCGCTTTTAAAACCCCATTCATCTTTGTTG